ACAACGTTTATATAAAAGTTTAAGAACATAAAGATATGAAAAAGGCAGTGTTGTGTGTGAATAATTTCTCGAAAATAAGCAAAATGTAAACAAAGTAGTATTTGGCATCCATACAAAATACTTAATTACTAGAATTATTTACTAGGTAGATTGATAAATAAGAACTTTTTAGAAATAAAACTGGACGCTAAACGTAAAAAGCTTAAGAAAAATGAAAACTATAGTATTAATGGTGCATAATGGGTCTTTAAATGTAAGTTTCATTTTCAAATACTGAAATCGGGTATCAAACAGACAAGGATCAGTGGTATATTAATTTGGTCCAATGTGCATTCTCTATGATAACGATAATTGACCCAAGGGTCAAGAATATGTTTTAATAGTTTTGTCTGTGATATATAGTCATTTATTTCTATGTTATTTTTTAATGCTTCAGATGTCGCCATTTTATTACCTACAAATATATTTTTGCAGTCTCAATGGTGTTTGCAAAGAGGCATTAAATAAATATTGATATCTTAAGACAAGTATCTTTGCAATACAGCAATATACTGTTTGCCATTTTTTAATAGTACAAATGGTTTACAATCACGGATTTGTCCAGAAACGGCGATGTTACAATCGCGTTTTATCATTCTTAAAAAAAACATAAAAACAGCAAAAACGAAACCTTGCACTGGCAAAAAGTAAATTCAACAATAGTATTGTGTTCCTATCCCCCTTCTTTGCAGAAACTTTCCTTTAAACACGTGGTAAGGAAAAGAAAATAATTCCTAGAGTATTTATAAATCAGAGTTTTTGTATTTGATTATTATTTGTCTGTTTTTGTTGTCACATTTTACTATATAGAATAAACTTCAAATTGTTCTTAGTATTTTCTCTATTTTTAAAAGTATCTTCCTTTTGAAGGTATTTACTTTAAACCTTTATTGTAAGTTTTTACTTATTACAGCGTTTAATATTAAATCGGTCTAGCGTCTCGGACAACTCTTGATATTAAAGCAGAATGGCTCCAGATTCATGCAAATTGTCATGAAATTTGAAAATATATTAAAAAGTAAAATGTTGTAAAGTGAACAAAGAAAGTACTCTTCAAAAATCTAAAGGGCACATTAAATCTACTTAAATTATCAAAAAAAAGTCAAAATATGCAAACCATAGCCCTTACTGTGGTAATAATAATAATTATTACACTTGTTACTATATATAGTAACAAAATTGCTTATGGTTTCAACTGATTATGAATGTCACTTGACCTATAATTAGTTTGCGGCCCGGGGCCGAGAACTAGTTATCAGCCCATTGAACATGTACACGTGCACAAACTAAAACAATGACGTCATATTTTACGTCATCAAAAAGTTAACTGTAAAAGTGAAAGTAGGTTTTCAGCATCAAATCGCTTGATTTTATTATGAAAGCTGAAGCGTATTTTGTACACACAGGGTTTTATTACTATTGAAATTTAAAGAAATAATACGACAAATTCATTCCGCAAATTGCAAAGTATTTTTTTTTAGAAAGAATGCTACTATTAGATCAAGCTAGTGTATTAAAGACATTTACACACGTCTTAGTTGTGCCAGAAAGTGACAATCGGCCCTGATATGAATAATGTAGGTTTTTAGCATGAAGCGGTTGATTTTGCTATGAGAGCTTTAGCGTATTTCGTCATACACCATTGTCAATAATAATTATATTATATTATGCCCCGAAAGCAAAAGAAAAATAACTTTCTTTAAATTCATAATTGTACCGTTGAAGGAGATGTAGCTGGTTTGTTCTACAACAATTGCCGGCGTTTCTCGACCTATGATCACGATGTAGATGATTATGTCCAAATCAACAAAGCAGTACAGTGCCACGGAGGATGGTGGTACTGGGGTAATCCTGCCACTTTTGTTAATCTTAACGGCGATTATATTACACCAGGAACAGTCCATGTGACTGATGGAGGGAGGACAGGAATGATATTTTATCCTTTCCAAGGAATGCAGTCACTGAAATCGTCAAGAATGATGATAAGGCACGTGTAGGCGATGAAATGTTTCATGTTGCATTGTATCAAATAAAGTCTCAATTTATTTTTCGCTTAATTGTCTATCTTATACATGTAAATTGTGTATTGTACTTTCTGAAAGTACACATCATTTTTAGTCAAATGATACTGAAGTAAATAAAAGAATTATTCACTTCTTTGTTCTTTCATCGGCACTAAGAAGAAAGTGTTTGGTACAATATCTCTGTAAAACTATACATGTATTTGTCTGATTAAATTTTCGTTTAATAGTGCAAAACATACAATTTAAATATAATTTGCATAATGATTTTTATATTTGTTATAAAATGAATCTAATGTGTTGCGGTTATTACAGGTATTTTAACAACAAATAGGCGCGTTTAAGCGATAATAAAATTGTCTGTTAAAGATTTAATTTGTTCCCATAAGTAAAGTATTGACAACTATTCAAATACCGGAAATATGTTTCCGCTACAAATATTGAAAATGTCTGTAACATTTCTGTCTTTTAATTTGTTTCTGTAAATGTTTCATTTGTTTGTGACTTTATATCACCAATAAGATACGTTAGATATGGTTTATATAATCACTTAGATACGCTATTATATCTTATCTTAGGTTTACTGTTAATTCTATGATATCAATTAAACATAAGAAGATAGTGTACATGCGTGCACGTGTTATGCTGATACTACTTTCCTTATTCTGTGAGGGTAACACTCGTTTGCGTTTGGAGGTCAAAATATTACTTTTTCCCAGTCTTGATTTATTATTATTATTATTATTATTATTATTATTATTATTATTATTATTATTATTATTATGATTATTATTATTAGGGAGTCAATATGCTTTAAATATAATTGCAGTTTGTCAATATAGTAATTGTTCTATGCTGGTCTCTGTACTTTTTAAGACTTTATCAAAGTTCAACCTTGAAGGACTGTTTATATGTTGAAATACACGATTTCCGTAATTATATTGCCCAATACAAAAGATAAAATAGTGAATTAAAACTATATCAATAAAAATGTTGCAGTGATCTTTGAATATTCAATTCAATCTTTTAAATTTAGAGAAAAAAAAAACAAAGAAAAAAAAGAAATATGACTGCAAGCAAACGAACAAAGAATATATCACAAAGGTAAAATCAACTAGGATTGTGCCTACGTGCTCATTTGCTTAGAATCAAATGTAAATGCATTACTTGTGATCCTGAAAGAAAATAAAAAATGATTGAATTGAATGCAATGTCATCTTAATATAAAATAACTGCCTTGTTTTGTTATTCATAATCGAATGTCAAAGTTTGACAAATGTATAAAAAAAACACGACAATAAATGTAATTAAAATTATGTTTTCACAAATACGGTCGAACTTGCAACATCTGACGCGAAATATATGATAAGCCAATCCAAAACATTGTTCTTATTGATTAACGAGTTAAAAAAAATAACAAATATAAAATACAACTTAAAATTTATTTTTCGAAGCGTATCTGTTAACAAATTGACGTGACTAGTTACTCATATAGTCATTTGATATTTTTATATATTATATTCAAGAACATGCGCTGGTCCAGAATGGCTTCATCATCTGGCTTTATCATCATTATCATCATCATCATTATTGTCATTTTTAACCCATTATCAAATTCATTTTCATCATCAGTATTATTGTCATATCACCATTGCGATCAATATATGAATTAACATCTTTATTACCATAATCATTATAATCATATTCATTTTAATTATCATTTTATCATCATCTTCAAGATAACTAACATCGTCATTATCACCATCATCATCGTAATCACCAATTTATTTAGGTATATTGATAATCATCATCTTCCGTATTAGGATGATCATCATTATGATCACCATTATATTGGATATTCACAATCATCCCTTTTATTTAATTTCTATCAAAATTTACCATTAATAAATACTACAATTTCGCTTTATACTCTTCAACCCTTTGAGTTGATTGTCCCTGATACACACAGGGACGTTTCTATATACCTGCAACTTCAGATCAGATATCTCCGATCTTTCTGTAGTTCGTTTCTCATATTCTCGATGGACAGTTCTGCTCTTAAAACCTTAAACTGCTGGAACTAAAAGTGATAAGCCTTTGCCACTGGTATACAGCCAGTCAATGCAGCACAATGGAGGCTCACCTGGCTCAATACTGTTGGCTTATCAAGGATTAATCTTAATGCAATCAAAATTGACAATGGATAGTTGCAATATTTGAAAGTGGACAAATATCTGGAAAATTTTGATCCCTCGAAAGGATTAAAAGTTTGAAAAAATTCAGCTTAAAAAAGGGTTAAAGCTATTTTTGTTTACGTACTGTCAAACATGATTTGATATCACTGCAGTATAATTGAAAAAAGTATTAATCTTTATGACATTTGAGAAAACAAGACAATCAAGTGACATCACAGCTGTTGTATAAATTTATACTCCTTAAAATTGTTTACGGATCGCATTCGAATTTAGATTCCCTATAATGTATGCCATAATTTATTTCCTCGTGTATGTAATAACACTGCGACCCTAAGAATATCTTGTTATACCCTTCGGGAAATTTTCGGATATGTTCAATTTATAAAAGAAGAAGGGCAGTCTTTTAACTTTTCGAGGCTGTTTTCATATTTTATCATAAACATTTGTCATGGTCAATCATTGTTAAATCGTGTTTTAATACTATACAAAAGAAGGTGAAATTGATTGCTCATCTTTATGTCCGCTAATTAAAATTTGTTGAAGACTGTAGCAAAATACCAAACATAAAAGGTTTTTGAGAAATAAAATGACAGCATTTCGGAGGCTAAGTTAGCCATTAAGAAAATCTCAGTATTCTCACTGATATAACAAAATGATCCCTATATAACGTTCAGAATTGTATCTCTTTGTCATTTAAGCACTTTTTTCACTGACAATATCTGTTGTTTTGTCAAAGTTAAATACAGTTGTCATCATGAGAAACAGCTGTTTGCATTTCTCCTTTTAAAGTGCATCTAAAATCCCGGATGAATTTCATTTATTGTGAATATTGCAAGCTACCGTGAATAGTTGGAGTATTTGAAGAATGGCTACTTATACATACATTTACATCTTTACATTTGTCTTTCTATTAAGGTAAGTATTTTTATGTATTCTCAGTTGATATAAGATTAGGCTGATAGAAATAGAGGAAATTTAAGTTTATTTTTAACTATAAATTCATCAACCGGTTGAAAAGTATGATATTTCATTCATGGCGGTATATTGAATTTTCTGTTTATGATAAATTTATCAAGTGGTAGAAAAGTATATTATTTCACTCGTGGCGATAACTTGAATTTTCTGTTTATTATATACATGTTTCTCTTTTTTTGACATTACAATTTGAAAGACTTCCCCTTAAATTTTGTTAATTGGCTGAATTTAGAAGAAAGTATTCCGGCAAGACATCAGTGAAAATACGGAAAATATGTTTTAACTCACTCAAAATATTTTTACAGTGAAAATACGAAAATGAAAACACGCATTTTATTTAATCAGTTTTTCTCAATGTTCAATTAATATGTATTTATTGATAGATATATATCATAACATTCTGTTTTGAAATGCTTTGCCAAATAGCGTATTTTACAGTGGAGCAACTTAAATGGTATTCTTTGCGAAAGGAACTGCTTTATTTCACTCTTATTGAAATAAAAGTTAATGGACAAGAATAGCCAAATTGTATAAGAATGCTCAAGTTAGTTACAAACGAGCATTCACTTGCATAACGCAATCAAACTAAAAGAATGAAAATTATAATGATTAATAAAAGTCCTTATCAAATCAAAAAGTGCATGTTATTTCATCGTGTTATTTCCAATTATTGCACAATGTGCTCAGTGAGTGAAATATATTTAGAACGTTCAATGAAACATACAAATATCTTTCACGAATTCTGCGGAAAAGCATTACCATCTTATGAAATTTATACATTTTCATAAATAATCTTTATTTTTTTTATTTTTCAGTATAAAAGGACAAACACGACCCGATGGTATGTGAAAATTTTGTAATAAAAATCCCTTTTCAAGTAAACCAATAGTAATTAAATAAATAAAGAACATTTTATTCTCAGCCGTTATGTTCCGGTACTAAATGAAGAAACTTAAACTCCTTATATATGTAAACAACTATATGAATTCAACCACGCTACGTCATCGAAAAGGTGGCTTAGATTTTCAGAAAGAGAAAGATATGTCCATTAGAAACATTAAGCATGATAAAGGTTCCGGTCAAAAAGATCGGTTCAGTTTGATAAAATAGAAAAACTAAAAAACACACAAAAAGAAGACGAAGAAGAAGAAACAAAACATATTGGACGTTTCTTATCAAATTCAACATAGTCTGTTTTGTTATAAAATTATATCATGAATTATTGCTCGTGAAAAGACATTAAATCGTGGTTTTGTGTTGTTTATTGATTGATAAAGAGAAAAACACATGAGATTTTAGCATGACTATTAGCTTTTTTTCTAATATTTTAATTTTTGATACATTTTGATATCTTATATTGTCTCATTTCCCTTTCTATTTGAAATAAAATCAGCAGCATAAACACGTAAAAGACTTGACAGTAACCAGTCATTTAGGCTTTTTGTTACCCTCACTTATTTAAGTAATATTTAGGGACTTAGAAGAAACCTTTAAACGACGAAAACAGCTGAAAGGGCATTGAATCTGTTCTAGACGTTTAATCTTTTCTTCTTAGCGTCTAATAAACTTTTGTCGTTGACCTACTTTCCAATGGCACGCGTAGTGTTTATCCAGATAGAAGTGAGGTTGAAAGGTTGAAAAGAATGGTTAAATGAATTCAAAAATTTTTGGTGACAGTTGACGCAAAATAGTCTCAGACGGTCAGAAGATTTTTAATTAAGGTTTCTCATTGAACGCAAAGATGAACAAAGACAAAGCTGCAAATATTGTCGTTGAAAATAAAATATAACCGAAACATCCCGAAAATAGATATATTTTCACATCCGTTTCTTAAATTTGCTTTCAGATAGTAATTGTGCTAAAATAGTTCAACCATCTGAGGATAGTCGTAGCAGCTATAGTTCGGATGGGTCTAGCACTAGTAGCTCAAGTTCGAGCGACTCAAGTTCAAGATCAGATATAGGCGATGAAGATATGTCTACACAGACGGAATGAACGAAGATAATGAAGGAACAGAAGAAGGCGATAATGAAGGAACAGAAGCAGGCAATAATGAAGCAACAAGAGCAGGATTTTCTGGTCTAGGATAGACCGTGAAGAGAGCCATTTGTATCTGACTTTGTCGAACAAGCAAATTATTTATTTATTAATTATAAAAATGTTTTGATCATTAAAAACATTAAAATTTGCAAGGTCGAATTTGAGTTTTTATTTTTTCTGTATTAATGTATGATAAAGTCAAAAATCTATTGCTTATATATGAATGAAGAGAAAAAAGCTTTCATGTTCATTGTTCATGGAATACTTTGAAACTAAGTAAATTTATTTCGTTTCTCACACTGCAACGTTATCGTTTCTCCTTATGCACGTGTTACGTGGTACTTTGTGACTGTCTACATTTCCGATTGTTCACATGGTACCAGGTACTACTTGACGTTCCACATTTATTGTTGTTCACGTGGCACTTTACACTATGTGACCAACCACATTCCTCGTTGTACACGTGGAAAGAGGTTCTTTATTGCTACCTAATTTTCTGTCGTTTAATTGCACTACGCATTACTTGACCTTCTACATTCATCGTTATCATTGACGCATGATGTATTGTGTTGATTTTTTGAAATAATTTTCATTTAAATGACATGCGTAACTATGTGGCTTTCTTCATTCTTGTTAATCACGTGGTACACTGACTTATCTTTTTATTTAACGCAGCACGATGAAATACGTTGCTACCTGAATGTTAGTCAAAAGGCATGCGTTACTATGTGGCTTTATGCACTTCTCGTCAATGACATGGAACATGATAGTATTGAATTAGGCTATCTACATTCTTGTTAAACTCGTAGCATGAGATACTACTAGAAAATTGTTAGCTTTTATATTTATGCTTCATACGGTAATTAACTGACCTTGTTGTACTTTCCTTCCATGTGACATGATATAATACGAGACCATCTACTTCTTATGTTGTGACACGAGAAAATGCGATCACGCACGAGTGGTTATGGTTGTTGACTTTAAACTACTTCTTTTATGTTAAAAAGACATCCAGCTACCTTATGGAACGTCGGTGGCTCGGCTCAGGTGCCCGTTTGCACCTAAAACCTTGCACAAAGCGACACCTCATGTCTTTGTCATCATTACCATCTTCGTTGTCATCACCCGCGTTATTGACATCATCTTTGTCTTCATATTTTCAATAATCACTGCCATCATCATTATTGTCGTAATTATAATCATCATCAACATCCTTTTCGTCATCATCTTTATTATCATTATCATCATCAACGACATCGATGTCAGCATTTTCATCGTTTTCATCACAATCATTGTCATCGACGACGTCGTCATCATCGTTTTCATCATTGTCGTTTGTATTATTCTTGTGACATGCGCGTGCTTAATACACGTCATTTCCACGCATCCTATGAATGATGCAAAATAAGCTAATTACATTAACAATACATGTATAGAACGCATGATTATTTCTTCTTTATTACAGGGACTTTAATCTGCCTTTATAACATCGCTTTGCTCTTTGTCTTTATTACCTGATCACGTACACAAATTTTCAATTTAATGATATACGACTGTACGCTTTGTAAATAACATCAGTAATTATATACATCTTAATGCTTGAGATTATGTTATGTTCCATCGTAATGCCGTATTTCAAATTAAAAGTAACACATTTACTTTCGTAAATGACTTTGCCTTTGCCTAAAATATACGACAAAGTATCTTGATAAACAGTCGATATTTACTTAGTACCTGATTTAAAGTTTGGGACTTTTAAAGGGGTTTGTAAGAGGATTGGCCTGCGGACTTAATGCTAACGAACGTATGAAAACATGAAAATAAGATTCAGGCTGAACAAAGTCACGAATAGATTAGAAATGTTTTTTTTTTAAATTTAATACTAACGAAGCGAAACACACATGACACGCGGCTATGAAATTAACATTAGAAATGAAGGACCAACGCAAATGAAAATTGCCTTTAAACGTAAAAATGCCTCAGAAATCCATATTTGTTATTCTTTGCAAATGTCAAAAAACAACACATATTTAATGAATAATGTATTGTTATGGTAGCAAAATGTAAACTAAGTAGTATTTTGACTTCCATACAAAATACTCATTTACTATGAATAAACCAATTTGCCAGCAGAACAAAATATGTAAAAGATAGTTCACCTATGTGGCAAATGAGTATTTTTTGAAACTGTAATAAGATACCCCGAATAAAAAAGGTTTTGTATTGAAGAAATTATGTTATATTGAAAGAGTATAGGTTCAGTAATAAATTTATTGAACGCGTTGAATAAAAACAAATTAAGTATTTTTGAAAATATCACAGTGAAATTATGAAAGTGAAAATTGAATAACGCTAAACTGCATTAGAAGAATCAAGAATACCATATGCCACTAATACATGGAAATTGTAAATACTCTATAAGGCTGCTCAATAAGAAATGTTTATGTTTTATTTTTTTTTTGTCAGATAAGCATACCCATTTGTTTAGGAAATATATATAAATTTTGAGTGCATTGTTGTAGAAAAGCACCGTTTAAGTTCAAATACATATGAATATATATAATCACGAAGGCCAATAGGCCGACAATGCAAGGCAAAATATTGCCAACTTTTGAAATTTTGAAATTTGATAACGTCATTTGAGAAGCGCTTTTTGTTTTGCAGCATGGATCAGAAAGCGCATCTCAAAATATCCCATTTGTTTTACATGTTGGATCAAATTAAATTTCACTTGTCAACACCAGCTGTTGTTATTTTCGTTATACTTGCAATCTATGCACGTTGGACAAAGTGTTTTATTCGATCTTTTACACTAGTTTTGCTTTTTTAAAATGTTTCCGAAATAAATATGTTTTAATGTTTTCAGTATTAAAAGAACTATCACGACATTACAGTATTTATAACTTAGAAAATGTCAAATTATATGCATACCTGTAATATTTTTCCTCTCCCCGACGTTAAGGTCGTTGACTTCAAACCACTTGCCCCTCACTGCTGTGGGTTCGAATCCCAACAGGGACTTTAGATTCCTTCATGTGAGGAAGCTATCCAGCTAGCTTACGGAACGTCGATGGTTCTACTCATGCGTCCGTCCGTGCATGAAATAATGCACAGAAGGGCACCTGAAGTCTCCCTCCACCAGTAAAGCTGGAGCGCCGCGATATGAACTATACTGTGTCGATATGACGTAAAACCCAAAACAAACAAACAAAGAAACAAACCATGATCATCATAATCATTGTCATTTTTACAATCATTTTGTCATCATCTTAAAGATAACTAACATCGTCATTATAACCATGAACATCGTAATCATCAATTTATTTAGTTATATTGATAATCACCATCTTAGTATTAGGATGATAATCATTTCTGGACATTATCATTTACAATCATTCCTTTCATTTAATTTGTATCAGAATTACCATTTACAGACACTTAAATTTCGCTTCAAACCCGTCAACCGTTTGCGTTGTTTGCCCCTGACTCACACATGGACGTTTCTATATACCTGTAACTTAAGATCAGATATCTGCGATCTTTCTGTAGTTCGTTTCTCATATTTTCAATGAACATCAGCACTGCTCTTTAAACCTTAAACTTCTGGAACTAAACGTGATTAGCCATTGCCATTTCTAAAGAGTTAGCTAAGGCAGCACAATACAATGGAAGCTCACCTAGCTTTATACTAATGGCTTATCAAGGATCAATCTTAATACAATCAAAATTGAAAATAGAAAATTGAAACATTTGAAAGTGGACAAAAATCTGGGAAAATGTGATCCCTCGGAAGAATAAAATATCTATAAAATTCAGCGGTGAAAAGCGTTAAGCTATTTTTGTTTACGTGATGTCAAACCAAACATGATTTGAAATCACTGCAGTACAATTGAAAAAAGTATAAATCTTTATGAAATTTGAGTAAACAAGACAATCAATTTATATCACAGCTGTTGTATAAATTTATACTCCTTAAAATTGTTAACGGGTCGCATTCGAATTTAGATTTCCTTTAATGTATGCTTTAATTTCTTTCCTCGTGAATATAATAGCCATTGTGACCATAAGAATATTTTGTTATACCCTTCGGGAAATTATCAGATATGTTCAATTTATAAAAGAAGAAGGGCAGTCTTTTAACTTTTTGAGGCTGTTTTCATATTTAATCATAAACATTTATCATTGTTCATCATTGTTCAATTGTTTTTTGTGTTTTTTTTGACTACCATACAAAAGAAGAAGAAGGCGATTGCTCATCTATATGTCCAAAAAACTAAACATAAAAGGTTTCTGAGAAATAAAATGATAGCATTTCGGAGGCTAAGATAGCCACTAAGAAAATCTCAGTATTCTCACTGATAGAACAAAATGATCCCTTTATAAAGTTCAGAATTGTATCTCTTTGTTATTTAATGTACTTTTTTGCACTGTCAATATTTGTTGTTCTGTCAAAGTTAAATATAGATGTCATCATGAGAAACAGCTGTTTGCATTTCTTATTTTAAAGTACATCTAAAATCCCGGATGAATTTCATTTATTGTGAATATTGCAAGCTACCGTGAATAGTTGGAGAATTTGAAGAATGGCTACTTTTACATACATTTACATCTTTACATTTGTCTTTCTATTAAGGTAAGTATCTTTATGTATTCTCAGTTGATATAGGATTAGGCTGATAGAAATAGAGGAAATTTAAGTTTATTTTTTAATTTAAATTCATCAAGTGGTTGAAAAGTATGATATGTCGTTCATGGCGGTATATTGAATTTTCTGTTTATGATAAATTTATCAAGTGGTAGAAAAGTATATTATTTCACTCGTGACGGTAACTTGAATTTTCTGTTTATTATATACATGCTTCTCTTTTTTTGACATTACAATTTGAAAGACTTCCCCTTAAATTTTGTTAATTGGCTGAATTTAGAAGGAAGTAGCCCGGCAAGACATCAGTGAAAATACGGAAAATATGTTTTAACTCACTAAAAATATTTTTACAGTGAAAATACGAAAATGAAAACACGCATTTTCTTTAATCAGTTTTTCTCAATTTCCAATGAATATGTATTTATTGATAGATATATATCATAACATTCTGTTTTGAAATGTTTGCAAAAAAGCGTATTTTACAGTGAAGCAACGTAAATGTTATTCTTTGCGAAAGGAACTGCTTTATTTCACTCTTATTGAAATAAAAGTTAATGGACAAGAATAGCCAAATTGTATAAGAATGCTCAAGATAAGCTTGTCTGAAACTTTACGGGTACAAGTTAGTTACAAACGAGCAGTCACTTGCATAATGCAATAAAACTAAAAGAATGAAAATTATAATGATTAATAAAATTCCTAATCAAATCAAAAAGTGCATGTGTTAAGTTATTTCATCGTGTAATTTCCAATTATTGCACAATGTGCTCAGTGAGTGAAATATATTTGGAACATTCAATAAAACATACAAATATCTTCCACGAAATCTACGGAAAAACATAAATGTTATGAAATCCATACATTTTCATAAATAATCTTTATCTTTTATGTTTCAGTATTAAAGGACAAACACGACCCGATGGTATGTGTTAATAATGTAATTAAACACTCATTTTTCATTTAAAACAAAAGTAAATAAATAAGTTACGAGCATTATATTCTCAGCCGTTCCGTTCCGGTACTAAATGACGAAACTCAAACTCTTTATATATGTAAACAATTATATGAACATTTTAACGTCCCTGTGAATTGCCTAATCGAAACAAAATAAGTACTATTTGAACTCAACCATGCTACGTCATCAAAAAGCTGGCTTAGATTTTCAGAAAGTGATGGAAATGTTCATTTGAAATATTGAGCAAAGTAAAGGTCCAGGTCAAAAACATCGGTTCAATTAAAAAAACAACAAAAAAAACAACAAAAAAATAAAACAAACAACAACAACAACAACAGAACACACACACCCACACACAAACACACATACAAACACACATAAAGGCAACAAAAAAATATATTGTACGTTTCTTATCAATTTCATGATAGTCTGTTTTGGTATAAATTATTGCGCGTGACGAGACATAAAATCGGGGTTTCTGGTCAAAGTTTTGATTGTTTAAATGTAATGAACAATTGATAAGGAGAACAGCAGATGATAATTTAAACACAGCATGACGTTTTTTTCTTAAATTTGATATTTTGATATCCTACGCTGTCACATGTCCTTTTCTATTTAAAATAAAACCAACAGTAACCATATAAAAGCATAGACATGTAAAACACGTGAAAGTTACCAGTCATTTATGCTTTTAGTGCAATGGCTATGCAAGAGAGTGTTTTTTGTACGTGTCATACCCTCACTTATTTAGGTAATATATAGGGGCTAATAAGAAACCATTAAACGACTTAAACAGCTCAAAGGGCATTGTAGCTGTTTGAGAAGTTTCATTTTGTTCAGCGTCTAACTAACATTTGTCGTCGACCTACTTTACAAAGGCACGCGTAGTGTTTATCCAAATAGGCTCGAGGTTCAAAATAATGGTTAAATAAACATTCTTGTGACAGTTTATGCGAGAGTGACGGTCTACGTAAAGTAGAACAAAAACAAAGCTGCATTGACATAAAAATATTGTCTTTAAAAATAAAAGCTAACCGAAACATCCCAAAAATAGATATATCTTCAAATTTGCTTTCAGATAGTAATTGTGCTAAAATAGTTCAACCAACTCAGGCTAGTCTTAGCAGCTATAATTCGGAACACGTGAAAAAAAAGGAACAAAAGGGTGTAATAAAGAAGAATGCAGGACAAAAAAAGCAACAAGGCAAAATTAGGATGGGATCGTCTTGTCGAAAATATTATTTTATTTATTGTTTAAAAATAATTTTTTTGTCTTTAAAAAAATTAAAATTTGAAGATCAAATTTGAGCTTTTATTTCTGTATTAATACTATCTAGTCAAAAACCCATTGAAATATATGTTTAAAGGGAAAAAAAAGTAATGTTATTGTTATGAGAAAATTTTTGAAACTGAGCAATTTTTTTCGTTGTTCATGTGGCAAAAGGGAAACTGTGCACACGAAACTTTTCGTTTTCGTCCCGTGTACAGGGCCTTTGTGACTATCACATTTTCGTTGTTCACATGGTACTAGGTACTATTTAATGTTCTACATTTATTGTTGTTCACGTGGCACAAAACACTATGTGACCAACCACATTTGTCGTTGTACACGTGGCACGAAGTACTATATTGCTAACTAATCTTCTGTTGTTCAGTTGCACTACGTACAACGTGACCTTCTGCATTCATCGTCATCATTGGCGCATGATGTATTGTGTTGTTTTTTTAAATAAATTTTATTCAAATAACACGCGTTACTATGTGGCTTTCTTTATTCTTGTTAATCACGTGGTACACTGACATTTCTCTGTATTGCAGCACGAGTTATTACGTTGCTATCTAAATTTTTTAGTCAAATGGCATGCGTTACTATATGGCGTTATGCATTTCTCGTCAATGACACGGAACATGATATTATTAAATAAGGCTATCTACATTCTTGTTATTCACGTAGCATGAGATACTACTAAAAATTGTTAGCTTTTTTATTTAATTATGCTTCATAAGGTAATGAACTGAACTTTTTGTCCTTTCCATGTGACACGATATAATACCAGACCATCTACTTCTTATGTTGTGACAAGAGGGAATTCGATCACGCACAAGTGGTTTTGGTCGTTGAATTTAGACTACTTCTTTCATGTGAAAAATATTTCTACCTACCTTACGGAACGTCGGTGGCTGGGCTCAGGTGTCCGTTTGCGCCTGATAGATACCATCATCACTATCATCATCATTATTATTGTCATGATTGACATGCGTGTGCTTTTTCTTACACAAGGCGCGTGCTTTAAACAACGTCATTTCCGCTCGTCATGTTAATGATGCAAAAAAATTTAATAACATTAACAATACATGTATAGAACGCATGTCTATTTGTTCTTTATTAAAGGGACTTAAATCTGCCTTCATAACATCGCTTCGCTATTTGTGTTCATTACCTGATCATGTACACACATTTTCATTTTCATAATATACGACTGTCACGCTGTGTAAAAAACATCAGCAATTATCTATATCTTAGTGCTTGAAATTATGTTATGTTCCGTCGTTATACAGTATTTCAAAACAAAGTAACACATTTACTTTCGTAAATCGACTTTGCCTTTGCCTAAAATGTGCGCCATAGGATCTTGTTAAGCAGTCGATATAACCTACTAGTATCTGCTTAAAAGGTTTGGACTTTAAAAGGCGTTTGTAAGAGGATTGGCCTGCGTACTTAATGCTTACGAACGTCTAAAAACATGAAGATAAGATTCAGACTGAACAAAGTCACGAATAGATAAGAAATGGTTTTTAAATTGAATACTGACGAAGCGAAACACACATGACACGCAGCTATGAAATAAACATTAGAAATGAAATCCCAACGCAAATGAAAACAAATTGCCTTTAAAAGTTAAAATGCCTCAGAAATCCATATTTGTTATCCTTTACAAATGTCAAACAACAACACATGTCACACAAACATGTTTAATGAATAATGTATTGTTATGGTAGCAAAATGTAAACTAAGTAGTATTTTGACTTCCATACAAAATACTCATTTACTATGAATATACCCATTGCCCGCAGAGCAAAATATGTAAAAGATGGTTCACCTATGTGGCAAATGACTACTTTTTGAAACTATAATAAGATACCCAAAATAAAAAAGGTTCTATATCGAAGCAATTATATTATCTTGAAAGAGTATAGGTTCAATAATAAATTTATTGAACGCGTTAAATAAAATCATATTAAGTATTTTTGAAAATAACACAGTGAAATTATGAATGTGAAAATGGAATAACTCTAAACTGCATTAGAAGAATCAAGAATACCAAATGCCACGAAAACATGGAAATTGTATATCAAAGATTTGGTCTACTGCATAAGGCTGCTCAGTAAGAATTTTTTCTGTTTAATTTTTTGGACGGATAAGCATACCAATTTGTTTAGGAAATATATATAAATTTTGAGTGCATTGTTGTAAAAAAGCACCGTTTAAGTTCAAATACATTTGAATGTATATAATCACGAAGGCCGATAGGTCGACAATGCAAGGAAAAATATTGCCAACTTTAAAATTTTGAAATTTGATAACGTCATTTGTGAAGCGCGTTTTGTTTTGCAGCATCAATCGGAAAACGATACATAATGAAAGTATCTGAAGCAAATCTCATTTTTTACATGTTAGACCAAATTACATTTCTCTTGTCAACACCAGCTGTTGTTATTGTCGTTATACCTGCAATCTACGCACGTTGGGCAAATTTTTTTATTCGATCTTTTACACCAGTTTCCTTTATAGCCACTGAATAATATGAAACAAAATTTTTCCGAAATAATTATGTTTAAATGTATTAAAAGGACAAACACGACATTACAGTATGTATAACTTAGAAAATGCCAAACTATATGTATATTTGTAATATTCTTCCTCTCCCCGACGTTAAGGTCGTTGACTTCAAACCACTTGCCCCTCACCGCTGTGGGTTCGAATCCCAACTTTGGATTCTTTCATGTGAGGAAGCTATCCACCTAGCTTACGTTACGTCGGTTGTTCTACTCAGGTGCCCGTTCGTGCCTGAAATAATGCACGGAAGGGCACCTGAGGTCTTCCTCCACCAGTAAAGCTGGAACGTCGCGATATGACCTATACTGTGTCGATGTGAGGTAAAACAATAAAAAAAAAACTTTCCCCGACGTAAATTAAAAATCAAAATATTGCAAATCATAAATTACAATAAATTTAACTCTTTTAAGCAAGACATCTTGGAAAAAAAATCATAATTATTGTAATAAAGAGCCGATTTACATGAGCTAAATCACGAAAGTCACAACGATATCTGAAATAAGTATAAGTGACCGCGTGGACTGTTAAATGGCGTTTTTTTTATCTTTCGAAAATAGAGTTTATACAGAGACAAAACGTACCAATTTTAGGAAAAACACAATCATCTACTGTGTAGTTTGATTCCGTTGTAGATCATGACATATACTTGGAGGATTCTTTTAACGGCATTACAGAACAACTGGTGCTGACTCAAGAAACAATACAGCAAGATCCAGAATGTAATATTATACGATAGCCAAAGCGGCGACTTAACTGATTACAAATTTGTAACAATACGCCATGTTTGATCAGATTTTTTAACCACGCTGGTTGTTCACAAGGAAACGAATTTTCCTCGTAAAATAATGAAAAATGACCAATATTACAACTGAAAAAGTGTTAAGGCTTGAAAAATATAGAATTAGAAAAGAACAAGGGAAACAACAACACAATTAAAAAAGAATAATATGAGTCTTTAAGATATATGGAATTCCTACTTTCAGAGCTGGAACAATTATACGATACTAAGATACTTACCGGACATTAATTTTCCCGAAAATCTAATGCGCGACATTTAGCTAAATAAACTCTTATAGAAATTTTCGATTTACAATTTTTGCATAAATTTCAGTGTGACATGTTTGAAAAGTGCGTTTGATTTCATAAATTAAAGCGAATGAGCGTGTTTCTTAAAAGATAAGAAGTTTTTTTTTTATTTTATTGTTTCAAATAATTATACAGAAATGGGATTGGACATGGTTTATGTGTAGATTGAAGGCTTTTATTGTGTTTTTTTTTTTGTAGATCATATTATATCATTCATGAATTAATTTGACAGAATTTTGTCATTGCTGGGCCGAATGATATTCATGTATTCAAAATGATATTCCAAGGAGGTTGAATGCTAAAAGTGCCTTAAAATAATATTTTTACACCTTCTATCCCTAAGTCTTTCAGAAACAGCTTTTTTAAAACTTCGGGTCCACAAATGTGGAACCCCATTTATAGGAAAATTATACATACAATCATACAACAATGCATAGTCATACAAATATAAACAGTCAGTCAGTATTAAAGGGAAACATATTGTATGAAAGAGACTCAAATTTTCCCATTACATTTATAATATAAATTTAGTAATTGATGACATTATATAAAAAAAACGTTAGTAGAACATTATAATACGAAGTTTCATAATAACATTACATCATATTATAAGCAGATGGTTTTGTAAGATTTCTGTGCATTCATTTACTGTCTTTCTTAAAAAAATGGCTTATTTCAATATGATTTAATGATTTTATGAAATTCAAAGGAATTTGCTTTTTTTAAATAAGAATACTAATAACTTATCAATAGATGCGACAAATTCAAGTTATGGCTCTTAGTTGAGAATCAGTCATACATTTTCGTTTCAATTAAGGTGGCAAGGGGTTGATATTTATAGTAATTGTTGCTAGTATGTTACCTATTTGGGAAAAGATTATCCTATTTGTGAGTATACTATGCTTCAGAGAAAACAATAGATACTAATACTTACCTATCGATGAAATGGATTTTGAAATTAAACTAATTGAATGGACTATAAAACGATTATTTAATTCAATACATTGTTGGAGCAGTACCTTTAGTCTTTTGCAGAAATCATGATCGCGAAGAAAACAAATATCCGTTTTCTTCGCCGATTCTTTTCCGTTCATTATCGTCTACAAATCGGTGTGAAAAGATGAATTCTACATTTTAAAATTAATTTCAGTGGATGAGTGAAAATGTCAGATTGTAGCATTCATACAATCAAGCGCCTTGTCCGGTTTATATCGGAAACG